TGTGCGATTGATTAAGTAGACAACATGTAAAACACATTCACTCCAATATTTTAAGGGAAGACCAGATTGAAATTTCAAAGCTCTGGCTACATTAAGAATGTGTTGGTGTTTTCTCTCCACCCTCCCATTCTGTTCAGGGGTTTCCACACAAGAAGCCTGATGTTCTATTCCCTCTTGAGAAAAATAATCACACATTTGGAACTCCTTACCCTGATCAGTGCGAATAGTTTTAACTGTGGTACCAAATTGGTTCTTAACCAAACTGCAAAAACCTTGAATCAAGCCCCTTATTTTACTCTTGTGCCTCATCAGATATATCCACACACAACGGAAAAAATCATCCACTATTGTAAGGAAATACTGATAACCATCATCGGAAACAACTGATATAGGTCCCCAAATATCCATATGAAGCAAATGAAACATCTCAGGTGCTGCATTGGTACTAATTGGAAAAGGTAATTTGTGTTGTTTGGATAAATTGCAGACATCACAGTGTAGTGGTTTCTGTTTAGTTACATCAGGGATGATTTTGGAAAGCAAAGACAATCTATCATGACTAGGATGTCCTAATCTCCAATGCCATAGGTGGAGGTCTTGTGGCTGGTAGTTGAAAGTTGAGGCTGCTTGGTGAAAGGTTGGTGAAGATAAAGGGGTAGGACTTTGAGGAAGGACCAGCTGGTAGAGGCCTCTACACTCTCTTGCCAAACCAATCTTCCTCTGGCTTAGAAGGTCCTGGAGTTCACAGTGATCAGATTGAAAATGTAAGGAAACTGAGTGATCATGGGTTAATTTACTGACTGAGATGAGATTGAAAGAAAAGGTAGGGACTAAGAGAACATCATAATGTTATGATTTGTTCTTTTGCAGTAACGGCAATACTTCTTGCCCTGGTTAGTTTCTGCAGAATCCCTCTGTTGTTGTTGACTTCCTGCAGCTAGAGCCAATGACTGGTTCTTCTTTCCACCAGTCAATGCATCTGCTTTCAATTTTTGTTCATGTTGGAGTAGGTCATCAACTGCTTCAGAAACACTAGGTAGGGGTTTTTGCATCAACAACTGGGTCTTAATGACTTCAAACTCTGGATTGATTCCTCTTAGGAAGCGAATCAAATAATCTTTTTCCTGCTTTTGAACAAAAGCAGCTATTGTAGCACAGGGGATGGTTGAACCTGGAGCACAAGCACATGGAACCACATGACAAAATTAGACATACTCATCCCATAATCCCTTTTTCTCTGTAATACTGATTAATTGACTTGGTACCCTGTTTGCAAGCCAAAATATCATCCTCCAGATTAGCAATTCTCATGGCATTTGGCTGTCCAAAAAGCCTTTTTAGTTCTTCCCAAAGTGTCTTACAATTGTTGTGATTCAGCACTGCCCTTCGTAGTTCTTTAGTCATGAAGTTCTGGATCCAGCACAGTACTACTGTATTACAAGCATCCCAAATACCAAACATATCTGAATCCCTAGAAGGCACTGTAACTGACCCATCTAGAAAACCCAGTTTGTTCTTCGTTTTAAGCACTACTTGCATAGATCTACTCCACATTGCGTAATTTGTGCCATCAAACAACTCAACAACCAAAGATTGAGCCATATTTTCGTTTGGATTGAGATAGAATGGGTTACCAAACGTAATGACCTATGTTTGTTGCTGCTGTTGTTGGCCAAAGGAGCCAAACTGAACACCACTAAGGGGAGAAGCACCACTATTCGCAGTATTGTTGTTGCCTCTTCCTTGACTACCAAGCGGCGGCGTAGACTGCTCACCCGACATTTTTGCTGCACAGCCTCAAACCCTAGGGTCTGGGTTGCTCTGATACCATGTAAATTTTGTAGAGAGAGTGGAAATTTGGAGAGGAAGCTCAGCTGTAATCTGAGCTCTCTGTAGCTTTTATAGCTACTTTTGCAATTAACAGAAACGTAACACGTGTCCTTACAGGATTGGTTCTTAATTTAAACAAACAGTAAATTAACGGCTTACACATTTAAACAAAAACGTTGTCGTTATCTTTAGTGCTTCAGCAACCATTCTTCTTCTTTCTTCTGTGACGACGCCGTCTTCAATCATTCACAATCCGCAGCCAGTGAGGATTGCTACACTCTACAACTCTTCTTTGTCAATTTCCCTTCCCCAATTGCTCCAAACTAAAAATAGGGGAAGGAGATGATGGCAATGTACTCATGTAATTAGTGGGTATGTATCGATTATCTTGCATTGATTTCCTGTGCGAAGAGTACGGCCTCTGGCCGTTGACGGGAGGCTTCCTATCCTTCGCCGACATTCGATGATTTCAGCTCCGACACTGGATTTTGGCGGGGGAGAGCAGCTACGCCAAGGAATTTCATGAATCCGGGTAGCCGAACAGGTGATTAGCCGGTTGACAGAGTGAATCTCGACGGAGGAATTTGAGGCAGCGGTGGTGGAACGGTTCAGGAAGCTTATCGCGGCCTCCCAAATCCCAATGGACTCTTAACAATTTCCTCAAACTGAAGAGCATCTATGGACTCGGTCGGCGGCAGAAAAGTACATTGATGTATGGAAACCAGTGAAGGGGTAATCAGGTAGGGTTTGGTGTGTTGGAATTATAGAAAATATATTCTTTTTAAGTTATGAAAATGACGGGAAAATTTAAGAGTTAAATTTTTATTTTAATTATTATTTAATTATCACGTCACACATTTAACGGTCAACTATCATAGTTGACTACCACATCAGACACAGTTAATGGAGTTGGACGGAGAGTGACCAAATATGACATGTTTTACTAAACCTAGTGACCAATAATGGATTTAAATATTTTTAGTGACTAAACATGAACTGTTTTAGTAATCACAATGACCAACCTTACAATTTACCCTATTTGTTTTGTTAAAATTAAATAAAGGACAATATAGTAATTTTGTATTTTTAGTTATGAAGATAATGGTAAAATTAGGATGACGTTTAGCCATCCGGTTGTAAATTAATTAATTAACCAATGTATATTCGTCATTCGACCAATGAACGAGTAAAAGCTAGTTAAAATTATTGATAAATATCACGCAGCGTAATTCCCAGCTTCTATCTTCTGATTCTTCTATGTGTTCCCATGTAGTTCTCTACTGCTCTTCGGGGAAAGAACCGGCTCCCTCCTCCTCTTCCCATGGCGGCGTCCTCCATCTTCTCTCTGTGGCCACGTTGTTCATTCCTCTTCCTAAAATAGTTTCCCTTTCTCCGCAAATGGCAAGCGGCAGAAAGTGAATCTATTTTAGGAAGAGAATGAACACTGTGTCTGCTTGCGTCTGCTTGCGTCTCTTCGACTCTTCCTCTATCTCATCTGGAGCGCGCGCGATGTTGTTTCTCTTCCAGGAGCCTCGGAGCGTTATCAGTACTCAAACGCAACCCATTGTGACTGAGAAGCCTGCCGTGTGCCATTCAAAGAGAGGTAGCTTTACTTGTCAATTGTTCCCTCAAATCCAATTGGAGGTTATCATGAACCATGTCTCGGTGATTAGCGAAAGTTGCTTATCTTAAACCTAGATCTGTTGTCTTCTCTCTGTTCCGTTGTTCGCTGTACTGGGTAATTGCATACTCTCTTTTGCTCCCTGTTTCGTGGCCCGTCGATTGTATTTCTGGCTTGCTAGATGGGGAAGAAAACGTTTAATGGCGAAGAACTAATTATATGCATAGATGCCTACAATTGGGATTGGAGGATAGTTGACGCTGAATGGCCTGAATTGAAAAGCATTCTGGGTATCGCCTCCTTTTCCCCTGCATAAATGCGAGATCTTCACGCCGACAACGGATTCATTTGCTATTTATTCCCTACTGCCACTATCGTAAGATGTTTCTCATTGTCTGTTGCTTTATGTGATGAATTTGCTTGTTACCTTACGAATTCGGTGGAAGACTACAAGTGAGCTTATGTATTAGAACGTCATGATAAGATGGCCAATTAACATATGATCATGCCTGCCAATGATATAAGCTCTTGATCTACTGATTTTGCATTGTGCCTCGTTTGACAGATTGACCCAGAACATCATCTGGAAATGGTTGATAAATAAAGCTCCAACCTGACGTACAGAAGCTCATAGGATTGTCTGTGCTTGATTTTGCATGGTACAAGTAGCTTGTGCTTAATATCGACAAGAGTTTGGATGGACAGGAAAGCACAGGGGTCTGTCTGTTTGTTCTTAGTTTTCACCACTTACCTGGTTTCTGTTCTGCTTGGCTATGGGCACAATCATCATCCTCCTTTTGGGCATCGCCAAGATCTATTCTTCCATTAATTGATGATTGTTGTTTCCTCACTCGTATATCTCTGATGACTCTTTGCACGGCTTCTAAGAACTTTTTCAGCGTGGGTCTCCTGTGCTGACCTTCCGTAGTCCCTTCTGCTCTTCTCTCAGGGCCAATTTCATCGGCCGGGGATGGTTCATCGTCCCCCTGCTGGTTGCCATACTTCTGAAGTTTAGTGTACTTCATGGGGTAATTCATTTGTTGCAAACTCCTCGAGTATATTGAAAAGGGGAACTTTCTCAAACATTTTATAGTAATGTTTAGCAGATAATAAGACATGGATTAGGATCATAAATGTATATTATTCTTATTAGGAGTAGGACGGCGTAGAAGGGAAGTTCAGAGATGCAATTTATTAATGATGTTTGGAAGACGACGCATTTTAGATGTTATGTACTGATGCTGGAACCAGGTGGCCCTTATTTTGGAGTCGTTTATATTCAGCAAATCAAGAGGACATGCATTATATCGATCAAAGACACTTTTTTTCCCTGTGTCTTATGACGACTTCAAAATCAAATTTACATTCCAAGAAAGATGAAGCAGTTGCAATGGGAGCATATATTGCACGGAGCTTGAGATTGACTTTATTTGTTTTTTTTATTCAGGCACGGCTGGGTTAGTTTGGCTTCATGGAAAACTTGAAGAGTTATGGCCTTATGTGGGCAGTCAATGTTTCAGAAATAGAAGACTAATGATTCGATAAGGTATCAGAGCGGCTTTACATTTTGTTTCTCAAAGCTGTTCCCCAAAAGCTTCAAAAACTCGTTGAAATCCACCAACCCATCTCCATTCTCATCATATGATGTGATCATCTCTTTGCAGTTTGCTTCCGAAGCATGACTGTGGCAGCACCAAAGCCTGGAAAGCACTGTCCTCAACTCCTTGGCATCAATGAACCCATCATCATTTCCATCAAACACATTAAACGCGGCTTTAGCCTCCTCAAGGCTAGGTTCCAGCTCCTCGAACATGTCCGTGATCTCATTAGCTCTCAGCTTCCGAGCCTGATGCTGCTGGTCGTCATTAAGGTCATCATGCCAATTGGTTCCTAGTCTTCCCATTACCATCCTCACTTCACTTGTGCTTATTCCCTCTGTGTCGTGATCTCTTTCGTGTACATTACTGGGATCGGGTGAAGGTTTATGGGCAAAATTGCTAGGGGTCCTGGAAGGTTGTACAGGGGTTAGTTGATGTATTTCTGGGGCCTGGAATTGACCCCAAAACATCTGAAGCGACAAAGCTATATTCAGCACAGAATGGGTTAGATGCAAAAGAGTGATGCAAAGAATGATGCCGTCGATGACAATCATGAGAAGCAAGGCTTGGGTTTGTGGAGAAGTGGAGTTCAGTGATGCGGCTGTTGCTGCTACTGCTGCTCTCTCCATTTCGCGGGAAGGGAGAAACTATATACAGACTTGACGAAAATTAGTAGGAGCGACAAGAGTTGGAATATGACGACTTCCAGTGTGGCCCTATATATAGGCCTAGAGAGCGAGCTGTCTTGAAGATGAAGAAATGAGCGTAGACTCAAAATGAATTATGTGCAGGTGGTTTCCTCTGATAGCAATGGTGCTCTTTAGCTGATTTGGGTGTGTGGAAACTGGAAAGGAATGGTAGGTGCCAGGAAACGATTGAATGGGTCAGGAATAAAGAATGACTGGGAAGTATGTTGATTACTGGTTTCCAGGAGGCTTAATTACTGGAAATTTCTCGGAGAATCATTTTTTTTGCTGAATGTTGACGGTAGAACAAATGGTACTTCTTTAAGTCTCCGTCTTGCTGCATGGCGATAAACGATGGATCACGTCAAGGATTTCCAACTACTTTATCCAAACTTCCTCGCACTTTCAATTTTGCATCAGGATTGGTTCTTGGTCGGTTTCTACTTCCTCCTTCCCTGCCTTTCATTTTTGAGCGTAGACTTTAAAGTCTTTTTCGCCAACTCATCCTCTAAATAACTTCAGCTGTTTCTCAAAATTAGTGAACTTTTCGTTAAATTTGAGAAAAACAAATTCTGAGCCAGGGGTGGAGCTACTCAGAGAGTAGGGTGGCCCCGGCCTACCCGAAATAGTCTCGACTCTTAAGACCGTAAGAATATTTGATAAAATTTGGATAAGTAGCGGTCGACCTATACATTGAATCATATAACAATAAATAGTCTAATGGTAGCTAAGCTAAATTTTTAGCCTAAAGCAAACAGGTTCGATCCACAACAACCTCATTTTTGCTTTAACTTCTTTTTGGACTTTATTATCTTAATTCTCCTTCACAAGGTCCTGGACCAAAGCAAACGGATACCCACTCCTTTTCATTCTTTTTGTTATTTTAATCCAGCTACGAATGAAAAAATCAACCTCAATTTATTGTGAAAGGAATTTTATTTTGTTGATAGGCTGATTTGTCTTCTTCTAAAGCTACATGTCATCGTGCATGTTTTTAGGTATATAGATAGTGAAGAATAGATTGCGAAACAAAATAAATGATGAGTTTCTTGTTACTGATTTAATTATTTATATTGAAAGAAAGATAGCTAAATTTTTTTGTTCAGATGCTATGTTGAGAGATTTCAATGATCTCAAAGAACGTTGTAGACTTTAAAAATAATTATTTTATTTTTATTTATATTTATCTATTTTTCGGCCCACCCGGTCTCGAAATCCTGGCTCCGCCCATGTTCTGAGCGTGGCGGAAAGTAATTGAACATAAAAGGGTATTATCCTTCCTCCTTACACTACTATATGGACATTCCAGGCCAAGAGGGGGTTAGATAGAAAAAGAGAGGCCTCTGCGCATATCAAGTGGGTCTATTTCTGTCATTCTACTCTTTTTTCCATATCATCCTACTGTTTTTTTTTTCTTTTCAAAAACTACGTTTCTGAACTTGGGCTTCTGGTTTAAAGTTTGAGCTTGGTTACATAAAAAAAGAAAATGGCTTTCCAAAAAGAAAAATGGAAAAACTTCTTAATGGTCTTCAGGCCAACTTGTAAAACAAAACGTTCATGGTAAACCTCTTTTTTTTTCTTCAGAAAACCCAAATTTTGATTATTACTTAGGCAAAGAAGACAGTGGATTTTTATGATAACATAGTGAATTTGATGATAGAAGAAATTGATATTAATTGGCAGCGACAGAGCTAAGTGTAATTAAAGAGACAATAATTTTTCCTTATTTTTTTAATATGAGATTACAATATATGCATTCAAATGTGTCAGTAAATATTGAAAATGACAGGATAAGCACAATTAACCCGTTTTTCTCTCTAAAATTACCTGAATTTAATTATTGTTTAGGCAAAAAAGACTGTGGGTTCTTATGATAACATAGTGGATTCGGTGAGAGAAGAAATTGATATTAATTATCAGTGATAGAGCTAAGTGTAGTCAAAGAGGGCATAATTTCTCCTTATTTTTTTATATGAGATTATAATGTATGTATTCAAATGTTGAAAATGACATGATAAGCAATATTAACTCGTGTTTCTCTCTAAAATTAATGTTAATCTTATCATTAACGTAGACATAGAGAACTTAAGTTTAGATAGTATGGATTTCGAAAATAATCATAAATGTCTGTAAAAAGATATCAAACTTCATTCAGCCAACGGGCCGCCCCCAATTCTAGTTATTATCTTAAATTTTCTGCATTTTTGTTTATTATGCAAATCTATTGTAATACTAATGATTAATAAATTTTTTTGTACCACGTAAAATTATTAGCTTTCGTTTTGTTACCGTTAATTATTTCTTAATGAAGCTCCACTTTAGCGTTTACGTCAGAAATTAATAACTCTATAATGTGTTTTACTATTATGATTTTAATTTTACATTTATTTATTTATTGAATAGGGTGATACTCTTCGTTATAAACCCAACAAGGAGCTCGAAGAGGATTTGCTGGGAACCCTCACGCAAAGAGAGAAACAAGTCTCTAACCCCAACCCCTTGTTCGAAGGCTTGCCGCGGTCGGTGATAACAGAAAAATGGTGTTATTAGCCCCCTATATTTAGGGTCGTTTTAAGTCATTTCGTAGTCTAATTGGTTGATATGTCATCAAATATATGCTTAATTCATTCATTGGAGAAATTAATGTCATATTAGAGTGTTTTAGATGATACAATGTTAAGTACGAAAATGGGGTCACAAGTGTAGAATTATGTGAAAAAATGAGAGTTCATGGCCGGGAAGTTAGGGTGCAAAGATGAGCATCGAGATTGCGGCCTCCAATGGCGAGGAGGAAATTCAATACAAGATGACTTCAATTTCCAATTCTTACACTTATTGCAAATGGGAAGATGCGGAGAAGGATTGTGAGCCAGTTAATCCTCCACCAACACCCCCTTCAAGTCCTGAGATTTAATGGTTCAATATGGTGTCTCATGTCGACCTGATGGATATAAGTAGTGATGAGAAGGGCAATTCAAGGAAGACTAGTTCACCCAATTCCAAGAAAATGCAAGAGTTGCTTCTCATTTCTTATCAAGCAAAGTTAGATCGGAGGAAACTTCAAAATTTTGAGTTTGAGACAAGGTATCTTAAGGGCAAGATGAGAAACAAGATTAAGAAGAACGATGGAAGTAAACTACTTTCCATCAAAGAGAATAAAGAATCTGGGGAGTGCTACAAGTCACTCACGAATGAAGTTCTTAGAGCAAGGAAGCTTAGTATCTTTAAACATAATCAACCGGCCGAACAATGCTTTGGGTCACTAGCCACGGACGAGGCAACCGAGAGACTTCATAGTCTTCACCTTGGGCTACATCACAAGTTTGATTACTATGAGGCATCAAGTGTGGAGGATGGAGCTATCCTCACTTAGCTTGCCAAAGGAAAGTCCTACGAAAAGACTTCAAAGGCGCGCTAGTTGGGATGGGAGGCAACCCAACACTTTCGGTTTGTGTATCTTTCTCTTGTCTTTTGAATAACTTGTTAAAGTTAGGGATTGATTAGTTTAGATAATGAATGATGGAACTTTAGCCCTTGCCATGACTTTATTTCTTGAATGAATGTTGTAATTGATGATTGAAATCCTTAGGTGTAGTTGAAATGTAATCATTGCTTGAAAGGGGTAAGATCGCGGCCGCGAGGTTAAAGATCGCGATAGAGATCTTTGGACCCCAGGCCGCAATCTAGCCCGCCCCTATTTAAGGAGGAGTGCATTATTCAATGCATGTGCTTTCTCTCCGCAAAATCTTTCAAATCTCCTACACTATGTTCTTAAAGTCCTTTAGTACCTTTTCATCTTACTTCATCTCACTTCATCTTTCAAGCATCTTTATGGAAGTATTGCATAATATTTTTGATTAATACCATGTCTCCAAGCAAGCTCAGGTCCTACTGTTTTTTTAATTTTTCTATCATTTGAGTACGTTAGCTAGGTCAAAATGTGTTCGAAAGCAAAGTGAACTTTGGTCCTTTTTAGGGCTATAACATGATTTCTTTATATTATAGGATGAATAATTATGCTTTCAAAAATATGTTATGTTTATTGGGAGACTTTGGTGGGATGGTTTGACTTAGTTTTGTTGTTCTTAAAGTTCGCCCACCAAGTGTTCGAAAAAATTCACCAATCACATATCATGCAATTTCTTTGATCCTATGCTATGCAATTGAACTTATGATTATGCATGAGCCTTGCATGTATGAAGTTTGGTTTATTTGTGGAGTTTTGAGTGTTATGAGTATTGATTAATCCATACTTCTCTATCCATACTCACTTTTTTAATACATATTCTTACTTAAGTGTGCGGGTGCATAAATACTTGCAAGAGCAACCTTCCAAGTTCAATTGTCAATTTTGAGTGGACTAATGGTGTTTGTATACCTTTGGTTCTACACTTCTTTTGTAGGGTATCCAACAAGCAAAAATGCATGGTCTGAGGAGAGAGTTCTCAACCGGTGGAGAACTACATCTCCTCTAGCACCCATTCTGGTTCAAAGGAAGAAGAAGAGTAAACCCCGCCAAAGATAAGTAATCATTGAGGCACCAAATCCACATCAACAAAAACCTTTGGAGAAACCTCTTGGAGATCAACTAATGATACAAGATGAAACTGGAGTTTCTATGGAGC